AAAAAGGGCTGGGGAGATGCCTCAGTGGAATAAGCGCTTCCCTGGCAAGTGCTAGGGCCTGAGTTCAATCCCCAGTTCTGCAAAAAAAAAAAGAAAAGAAGAGAAAAGAAAAGAAAAGAAAACAAAAACAAAAGGAAAACTCTCATTTTAGCCTACAACTTCTCTTTTCAGTCATAAGTAACAAAACTCATTATGAACCAAATAAAACTGTCTTTAAATTAGAGTTGAGAATGCAGAATTTAAAGGATATTGGTATAATTTTAACACCAAACAGCTGTTATCACGTATTTTCTAGCTTTTCTGTAAATATAAAATCTGAACACAAACCTCTGGATGTCTGGAATTTTATGGTTTGCCTTAAATATGATCTTATTTCTCAAATATTTTATTAGCTAAATACTCTACTTCAAGCTATGTCCCAAAAATCTTACATCTTTTCCCCTTTACTTTTGTTTTACCGTTTTATAACATCAAAATTATTTTCAATATGTATATAAATTATAAATATTCCTGAATAGCTCAAACAAAAATCAACGTGAAATTTCTATAGTCTTCCCAAACAAACTCAAAATCCCCCCATCCTGCCCATTCCGGAGTGGCCACTGTCCTTCAGTTGGTAATCATTGCCACCCTTGCCTGGCATTTTTCAAATGTATGTCATACAAAGGTTTGTGTTTTACAACCAAGGAGCAGGGCTAAATTTATACCTCTTTGTATACTTTGTAATGTCAGTGTAATACATTTGCCACGGCATGTAGATAAAACATTTTAATCAGTGAGCATCATATACTTAAGGAAAATATATATCAATTCATATATTTAAGGAAAATATATATCAATTTTTCTAATTTATCACATATATCTCATATCATATACTGAGAAATTAAATTTGGAAAAATTACACATTTGCGTTCTTTCTTTCCGGTACCCAGGATCAAACTCAGGACCTTCCACTTGCCAGGTAGGCGATTATGCTGCTGAGCTGTATTTCTGGCCCAAAATTATACATTTCTAAGGCAATTCCATAAAGATTTACGTATTTCATAAAGATGGACTCTTACCTTCAGCAGAATGACAGGACTGAGGCCAACCGGCTTGGTCACTGCTTCTAGCCTTTTGTAGAGAAAACCCTGAATCATCAAAAGTTGAATCCAATGTTTCTTTAAACTTCTGCAGATTTTTTTTCTTACTAGAATCTGGTGTCTTGAGTATTTTCTTTCGTACATTAGAAAGTGAGTTCAATCTTCTTGATACAGAGAGGGGTGTGCTCATAGCTTTTTCTCTTACTGGCAAAGAAAACTGAGAAAAACCAGGAGACACAAAGTCTTTCATTTTTGTTGCACTCGGTGGATAATATTCAAAATTCGGACTCTGCATCTCTTTACTGGATGGGACAGGTATGGTTTCACTTGTATAATCTGCAACATGATCTCCTGATTGATTTAAAACATTATTTTCAACCTTTAGCTTATCATCTAAATACTTTCCAGACTGATCATCCAGAAATCTATTCTTATTTGCATCTGATGTATGTCCTAATATTTCATCATCAGAATCTGAACAAAATCCTAAATCAAAGGTAACAGAAAATAAATCCCTAGAGGAATCAAACTCGTATTCATCAGGCTTCAGTTTTTCCTCATGTGTATCTTTCCAATCTGCGTACAATGCGCAATTGCTAGCACCATCAATTGCTTGGCCATGGGGTTCAGAATCATCACCCAACAAAAGTTCATCAGAAATTAAGAAGTGAGAGACTGGAGCCATTTCACTTAGCAGAGTTTGGTCTGATATAGGATGAGATTTGCGATCATTTTTCAAGGGAGAAGGGCTCACATCACTGAATTCTTCATTAAAATCTTCAAACAGTAGCAAGCTCTCATTCTGATCAGTCGGCAATAGTGGGAAATCATGGTTATCAACATCGTGATTGCTTTTGTCAACTGAATTCCTTGAATGATCTGTGTGAATTTGACCATGACTGTCAGATGATAAATTTTCATTTTTAATATTCTTATGTACCTTATCATCCCTGTCAAATAAGTATGGCTCAGCAGAATTGTTACCATTATTTGCATCAAAGAGATAGCTTCTTTCAGAAGGCTGATTAATAATTTTAAGTGAATCCAATTCTAAGTTCTCTTGTGAATCCAAAAATGAATATGACATCAAAGAGGTAGATTTACAGTTTTCAAGACTCACAATTTCACATTCCAAGTCTGAGAGTCTACTGAGAGGTGGAGGAGAATGAGATAAAAATCTCTCTACATTGGCTAGAACCTCATTTGTCAACATGCGACAAAGATGAAATTCATCGTCTGTTCTAGATACATACAGATCTTCCTCCAAAGGAAGAAATAAGTTGGATAAAAAAGATTCCTTATCCCCGAAACTGCCATAACCAGAACTTAAAAAACTTCCAACAATTGAGTTAATCGGTTTATTTGTAAGTTGGGCCTCTGTTAGTGACACATCTGGCTGGTTACTAATCTCTTCATTAACAGTACATGCTGCAGCAGCTCCAGTTCTATCTGACGACCTTGCATCATCAGGTAAATCCACCTGAAAACTAGGTTCCACAGGTAAACTTCTGTCAGTATTTAAAAAATCTGTATCGCCATTATTTTCTTGATGGGGCTGGTCCTCTTTCATTTCTTTACAAGCTGTTTTCATTAGGGACACAGTTTTAGTAGGTCTGATGTGAGTTGGCTTAAAACTTACAGCACATTCTTCATCAGACTCTGTCACTGAGAATGAATGGGCTTGATTGATACTCTTCGGCAACGAAGCGTTCTTGTGCTTTAGGATATCCCTGGCGGGATTCCGAGCAGCGCTCACTGTTGAGCTAACATCTTCCATCTGTAAGTACGACTTCATTTCCAAATCATAGCTGCACTCACCCTATAATTAGGGAACATGTAAAACTACATGAAGACAAAACAAAACAAAGCAAAGAGACAATTCTTTGCTTTGCTTTTCTTTTTTGGTAACTGCAGTGGGAACAAACCCATGAGCCCAGATGTGTGTGCTAAGCAACAAAAAACCAATTCTAAAAGATTAACTTCTATGTTAAAATATTTTCTAGTCAGGTGTGGTGGTGCACACCTGTAATTCCAGCACTCAAGAGGCTGAAGCAGGAGAATCACTGAGAGTTTGAGACCAGCCTGGACTGCACAGCGAGACCGTATCTCAAAAAAAAAAATTCTTTTTCTAAATAGTATCAGATGGCCAGAAGGCCTGCAATGGAGCATGGGAAATAGCAGGAACGCAGTAAATATACGTTAATTTAATGGCACCTGTTTTGTTGGGTCTTCCAAGTATTTTATTTGCATGCACCCATAAACAATAAAAATAATTACAATTTGAGTATATATAATGTACTAGTTCCCATTCTAAGTCCCTTAAAGGTATTAAGTCATTTAATTCTCAGAACAATTCTGTGAAGTACGTATTAACATTAATCATTTTATGAATGAAACTGAGGGGTACACAGATTAAATAATGTGCAAACATACAATTAGTAAGAATTAGAATTCCAATCCAGGCATTATGGGTTTCATATTCATAATGAGTTTAGTATTTTGACTCTCTCAAAGAAAATAAGAAACTGACCAAAAAATTCACTAGAATACAAGAGATATCTAATGATCTACATAAGACAATATTTCAGTAAATCCCAATATAATAAAATTCTAAATTAGCTTTGCAAACAGTTTATACAAACCATTAAATATCAAAATTTTACCCTGACCGAAAATATACAGAATGTGTATATATATTTTTTTTAATTTTTTTTTTTTTTTTAATGTATCTAGTTGTTGCAGGGTCTCACTATGCAGCATGGACTCATAGTAATCCTCCTGCTTTCAGCATCCCCAGCACTGGGATTACACACATGCACCACCACGCCCAGACCCTGGCCTGCTCAGCCCACCCTAGTGGCAGGGCCAGCGCAGCACTGGTGCTGGGGATCAAACCCCAGTCCCTGTGCTTGCGTAAGCTTGCATAAACAAGCGCTTTAGTCTGCTGAACTAATTCTTCTTCTAATCAATTAAGTCTATTTCTTTTCCCAAGAAAACTGAGTACTTATTGGAATCACCAGGAGCTATACAGGAAAACAAAATATTTTTAGCTATAATTATTCATAATACTTTAGTTATGTCTTCCAATTAAACAAAAACAGAGGACAAGTATGACAGAATCCTTATACCACCAACAAGAGAAGGTTATGGTAAACTCTACCTCTTCTTGTCTCATCCGTTCTATCATTTGCATAACGCTTACAAAATGGTGGCAGCGCTCCGAATGGTCAACGCGGTGGACGGGAAAGGGATGGTCCTGCCACACCCTCCATTCCGTGAGAGACAGCTGATGAATTCCTGGGCTTGTTTCTTGAATCTTGATTAAAGATTTTAAAACAAGGAAAATGATAAGCTCAGATATACATATTCACTGAAATTTCATAAACTGGTTTTAAAAACACTAAAAAGTAAGCCGGGGAGATGGCTCAGTGGAATAAGTGATTCCTTGGCAAGCACAAGGGCCTGAGTTCAATCCCCGGTTCTGGCAAAAAAAAAAAACAAAAAACAAAAAACCTAAAAGGTTGATAAGAACCCTAACACAAATAACTTGAATTCATGCAGACAGTGTCAACTGAAATCCCAGAAAAAAGAAAATCTTATAAAGTGCAGAGATGCCTTTTAAGTACATTCTAAAATAACTATTTCACTACTTTCTTTTTTTTGCTGGCTCAGCCAGCCCTGAGGGCAGGGTGGCACAGTGTGTGGTGCCCTGCACCTGCCTACGCAGGCACTTAGGACCGCTGAGCTACCTTGCCGGCTCTGCTCCACTACTTTCACTTGACCATATTCCTGT